ATGGAATGCACAAGGAGAAGGTAGACAAAGAGAGAGAGAGACAGACAGCAAATAAGTACAGCTGGAACAATGGAGTTTAAAGACACAATTCATACAGTCATTCAGCCCCAAAACAGGCCCTTCAGCCCAACTCATCCATGCTGACCACGTTTGCTAAACTGAACTAGTCCCAGTTGCCTATGTTTAGCCCGTATCCCTGTAAATCTTTCCTATTCATGCATTTGTGGAAATGTCTTTCTCTAACTCTTCCTCTGGCAGCTCATTCCATACACACACACAATCCTCTGCATGAAAACGTTGCCCCTCAGGTCCCATTTAAATCTTTCCCCTCTTATCTTAAACTGATGTCTCCTAATTTTGGACTCCCCTACTCTTGGCTATCCATTTTATCCATGCCCCTCATGATTTTATAAACATCTATAACATTACCCCCTCAGCCTCTGATGCTCCAGGAAACTCAGCCCTAATCTATTCAGCCTCTCCTTTATAACTCAAAGCCTCCAGTCCCAGCAACATCCTTGTAATTTTTTTTTCTGCACCCTTTCTATTTTTACAAAACCCTTCCTATAGCAGGGCAACCAGAACTCTCCGCCACCTTTCTGATTTAGTGCTGATCCTTAGATCCCAATAAAACCAATGGATTCTACCAGGATTACAATGGAGCTGCTCCCACCATGAATGTGCTCAGTGATAGACAGAACCATCTGAGTGCAGATTCGGGGATTCAGTACAATCAATGCAGATTGCCCTCGGAACATTTGGGTTGAGGGAGAGAAATCTGACCAGTGTTTCAGCTCACAGGCAACTCTTATAAACACCAGGCAACAGATGATAGTAGGAACTGCAGATGCTGGAGAATCCGAGACAACAAGGTGCAGGGCTGGATGAACACAGCAGGCCAAGCAGCATCATAGGAGCAGAAAGGCTGACGTTTCGGGCCTAGACCCTTCATCAGAAAAAAAGGCAACAGATGAGTTCATGCTCCAGCCTGGCTGTTACACATGCACGGTGGTTGGGCAAGGCTCAGTTGTGATGCTGCCCCCAGTCAAATATGGCCAAACCTCACTCAATGTGAATGATTATTTGGGTGAGGGAGCCGCACATAGGAAGAGATCTCAACTTTTGGAGATGGTTGGATGAGTTAGATTACCAGCGTTTTGAGGTCTAGCCATGCCTGTCAAACGGTGAGAGGTTGGAAATGGAGCAATGCACAATGGACAAGAACTGGAGGGGTGCAACGATCTCTGAGGATTGCGCGTTTGGAGGAGGTTACAGTAAATGGAGGGAGATGTTACTGGGATGTGGGGCCATGGAGTGATATGAAAATAATGGATTTAAAATTGATATGTCGTCACACTAGGGGACAGTGTAGGCCAGTGAATACTGAAAGTGGTGGATGCACAAGAGTTGGTAAAAGTTTGGATTCAGAGAGCAGAATTGTGGATTAACAAGCTATTTGGCTGTGCAACCAACATAATAAAGAAAACAACACGCATTTCTACAATGCGCTTTACAGGAGATGTTGAAGAGCTTCACAGCTAAAGAAGTACTTTCTAAAATGTAGCCACTGTTGTAATGTAAGGATTTGCCCGCAGCAAGTTCCCACAAGCAGTAAATTGATAAGGAGCAGATAATCTGTTTTTATCTTGTGGATCAAGGGATAAATATTGGTGTGACAGTGAACCTCCTGCTCTTCTTCAGAATAGCTCCATTAGATCTTCACATCTAACTAAGAAGGTGAAAGGTGACCTCAGTTTAAAGACACCTCTGCTGCTGCACTCTCTCAGTACTGCACCCTTGTTTCATGTGCGCAAGGCCTGGGCTGGGCTTGTGACCTCAGAATTTTATGATTCAGAAGAGAGGGAGCTACCAATTGAGTCAGGTGCTGATATCGCTTAGGATAGTTAGCTATAAGTGTTCTTAGGGCAACAGGAGTCAGGCAATAATTACTGCACTATTTAACTTTGCCAAATCTGATGAACAGCATATTTTTTTTAAAAAAGCCACCTGATTGTCCATTGCCAACTAAGAGAGGAAACACAGGGTCATTGAATGCCTGTGGTTTGGTAAGGCTGCCGAGTGCAGCCTCTCTGCTTGCCTTTGAACTGATGTCTTGGCCACAGCACAGAGACCCACTTCAAAGGCTGGAAGCATCTTACTGAGCCTGTTTCTGGTGGTCACATGGGCTTTTAGCTGCTTTGTTGGTGGTTTCTCTCCGATGAAAGGGCTCTTCTTCTGTTTGTATTTGCCTGCATTGTCGGCTAATTTCGGAGAGATTATGGGATGGCCAAAACTTAATGTAAGGAAAGACAAATTAAGAAAGGGAGGGTGCAAGTAGATTCTTTGTGCATTGTGTTAGTTAGTAGAATGTTGGATAGGCAGTTCCAAGAGTGGCTCACCATTTCTGTGTGAAGCGAGTCCAGTAAAATAATGGTCTCCTCAAGGGTGTGTAATTACATTGAGTCCACAGAACGGAAACAGATTGTACTGCTATACTGTCAGTGATAATCCTTCTCACAAATTTGATCGTCTCCACCCTCCTCCATCCCACCCTCTAAGCAGAGTCATTTACGCTTTCATATTTATGTTTATGTAGCTTCCTTTTACATGTATTTGTGCTTTTCATCTCAACTCCTTGTAGTAGCAAGCTTCATATTCAAACTGTACCCTGGGTAATAACAATCCTCCTGAATTCTCTATTGGATAGTTTACTGGGCATCTTAGAATTATGAGCCCAAGTTTTGCGATGGAAACTGTGAATTGCATCTCTTTGCCATAATTTCAAGCAGTGAAAGAGGCGTTTTACGGAAGATGTCATCACCACTCAGTCAGCCTCAAGTTCAAGAGGAATAGAAAGTCTAACAATTAAAGAGAGAGAAAAGCAGCATTCCCACTTCCTTCCTTGTCTATTAAAATTGCAGCCAAGTTAAAAATTACTCCAAATCATGGAACATTCTTAGGTGTCAGCTGACAAATATATGATTGCAGGGGTTGGTGGACCTTACTGGATGTTTGATGCTCAAAATATTTCAGTCAGGATCAAAAGCAGCTCTCAAGTTTGGAAGGAATTCTACCCCACTTCCTGGATCCAACCTCTCAAGATTTTGGCTGGTTTTACTCAAGAGCTAATGTTACAGTTGAGAAACCTATTTTGGTTTATAATTAGTTAGTGGATCTCAGTTGGTGCTGTTTCAATTGACCTCAAAGCTTAGGGGTTGCCAACCCTCTAAGATTGCTCTGAAGTCTTCAGGCATTGAATATTAATTTCCCAGGACACTGCCAAATGCAAAACTGGGGAGAAAAATTATTGTGTGTTTAAATAAAACATTATTGTTTCTGTCCTTATTTTTGCAACACGTTTCTTAGCTAGAAATAGTTGTTTGGTAGGAGATAGCTTGAGAATCACTGGAAAAAAATACACATTTTGTTGAACCTTTGTCTTGCAATCATCAGGATAATTTGCAAGAATTCCCAAAGTAAAGGGGGAAAAAAAAATCAGACTGTTTGAGAGGAGAGTGCTGATTGGTTAGCAAATAGACTCTAATTGTTCACAACCTTTCCACGAAAGGAAGCGGTTTCTCTCTATCTAAACTGAGACCCTGCATGACTTTGAATATCTTTCTCAAATCTCCTTTCAACTTTCATTTTCTGCAGTCTGACCACTGACTGAAGTTTCTCATTCCAGGAGTCATTCTTATTAATATTTTCTGTGCCTTCCTAAATTGTGGTGGCCAGAACTGCAACTGTGGTCAAGCCAGTTTTTATAAAGACCTAGAAGAGAAATTGCTGGAGAAACTCAGGAATTCCAGCAGCTTTGTGGAGAGAAAAACAGATTTAACATTTTCAGCCCAGTGATCCTCCTCCAGAAAAGTCCTGAAGAAAGGCTTCATTCTTTATTCATTCATGGGGTGAGGGTGTCGCTGAGCAGGCAACATTTATTACCCATCCCTAATTGCCCAGAGGGAAGTTTAGAGTCAACCACATTGCTGTGGGTCTGGAGTCACATGTAGGCCAGACCAGGTAAGGATGGCAGTTTCCCTCCCTAAAAGACATCAGTGAACCAGATGGTTTTTCCGACAATCAACAATGGATTCACGGTCATCATTAGATTCTTAATTCCAGATAATTTATTGAATTCAAATTCCACCATCTGCCGTGGCAGAATTCAAACCCAAGTCCCCAGAAGGTTATGTGGGTCTCTGGATTAACAGTCCAGTGATAATACCACTAGGCCACTAGATTCAAAACATTAACTCTGTTTCTCTCATGTATATAGTATCCTTTACATCCTCAGGACATTCTAATGTGTCAATAAAGTACTTTTTGAAGTGTTGTCACTGTTGTAATATTAGAAACACAGCTGTATATTTGTACATAGCAAGCTCCCACGTGCAGCAATGTGACAATTATCTGCCTTTTTACTGGTTAGTAAGAATGATTCATGAACCGTGTTCCATATGATTCCAAGATGCAAGATGTCCATCAGTCTGGAGCCCCTCGTGCTCGGAATTAGTTGATAAAGCAATACCTTCCTCTGCTTGAGGTCCTTCTCCTAGCTCAGATCTTCTGAAATACTGTCCCCAGTGGCGATGAGTGCTGTTGGGGAATTTAATGATGAAGAGAACTTGCAGTTGTTCCCAAACATTACTTTACTCGATATTCATGCAAAGGCTCATTTGTCTGTGGTTTACTGGATAGTGAATGGGAGGAAATTACTGGTGACTTTTGTCTCCTCTTTCTAACCAACTAAGGGTGGAGAGTGGTCAGCTAATCATCATTCCTAGACTCAAGAAAGAATATTTCAAGACTTTTTTGGTTCGGCGAGAGTATTAATGTTTATTGAAGCAAGGTGGGTAGAAGGAGTTAAGATAAAGATTAGCTACTGTCTAACAATGGTGCAACAGGCTTGAAATGTGGTCTGATGTTCTCATGTCCTTACATCAGTGCTGAGCACAATTGCCAAAATATGTTACAAGATATTCTTTTTCTCTCTATTAAAGGTGAAGTGCGATAAACACACAGAGCTTTTAAATGCTGATGCATTCGAACTGTGTTCTCTTGCTCTGATCTATCTCGAGCAAGAACTTCCTGCTGAACTGATTTTGTTATTTACCCAATGACTGGAAGGAACAATGTACTCACCAACAGCTCACAAGCCGAACTGATCCTGGCAGGTGGGTTTACTATGATACTCTAAACTTGTTTGCATTGCTGTGTTAGGGACCATCCTCAAATCACAGGGTCCTGTTCTACATATCTCTACAGTCTAGATCTCTAATAACCAGTCAGAGTGCAGACTCTGTTATACAGACATGACAACTCAGTACAAAGTATGAGCTGCTGCCTCCATCCTCTTTAAGTGCAGGAATCTACAGGGGCCTGTTTGTTCCACTGTGGGAGAGGAAAACAACATTCTGGTGGAACTGCGAGAATCTCTTGTAGTTAACAAGGTGGGGTTTGTTGTACAACAGATTCTGGTTACAGGTTACGTTGATATGATTGACATTATTACAGGGACAGTGAGAACAACCTGACGTTGGCTGTCACTCCTTTGAGACCCAAAGCTGTTCTGCCTATATGTCCATTTAACATCATCATAGTGAGTGCTACTTATGGCACTCTTCAGTATTAACCCTTATAGACTCACATGCATCTTCCACAAAGCTTTTTTTAAAATATTTATTAAGAATGTACAATTTTGTGTGTAACATTACATTTACCACTGCCCAACGCTCCTCAAATCTCTGACTTTACAAATTCAGGTGATCTACTACAAGTTTTACTTTTCTGTCAGAACACTTTCTCCTTTGGACTTGGGAACCTGGTAGCTTGCGAGTTGGAAGACCATGATGTTTAATTTTCTTCCTGATAGTCTGATGTCGATGGGTCCCTTTAAATTGGAGGACCATTAATCTCTTCAATTGCCTTCACAGACAATGTCGCTCCTGCTGAAACAGGCAATTTCCTCTTTGCAACATGCTGAAATGTTGGACATTGATCATCCATTCTCAGGGTGGTTTCCTTGAAGTTGCACACATCACATCGTCAATCTGTGCTAGCAGGTTTTTATTCTCAATCACCTGTAGATTGTCCTGAAACCTGCAAACATTTTACTTCAACTTGTTGTTTAGTCTCTGTTCCTTTGCCCTCAGCAATTGCTCTCAGCAATTGAAACCATCATGTTCACTTCCTCAGTTCTGCTATTTGAAATTCACTTCTTGTTTGGCATGATATCTGTTACTGTCACTGAGGATTCTTCCTGGCAAGATGAGGACACCACATATTCTGCTTGAACTTGTCTCTTCCAAGTCACCTCAGCATCTAACATCAAACTTGAATGTCATGGCAATCTCTTCAACAAAGTGTACTGCATTCAGAATTACATCCATTATAGATTTGTCAGTTAGTGGGAATGTGCCCATTGGCTATCCTCTTGCTTGTTCTTACTCAGAAACCTCACTTACGTTTCAGTCTGAGCATTTTTAAAAAAATTGTCCTATTTTTCTAATCAACCTGTTCAGAAATGTCATTACGCACCTCTGGAGCAAATGGGATGTGAACACAAGCCTCCCAGTCTAGGAGTAGGGATACTACCACTGTGCTACAAGGGGGCCTCTGGTCTGAGCATTCCTCAATGTTCGTGGTGCCTATCCAGTATAGTCACAGGTTCCCATCTCATCGACTGTGTGAAATAAATTTCTAATGCTAACACAGCTAATCTTATTGGATTCTGTTTCTGTTTAGGTTATGCCATGTACCTAGGGAGATACTGACCATTCTTTGACTGGCTGTTTCTTAACTTTACATGTTTTGTTTTCTTGTTTGAAGAAGATTGAAGTAAAGTCATGTCTTCCAATGCTAGAGGGAGAACTCTTGATCATGAAGTATGTATAGGTTTTCTACTATTTGGTGACCCCTATATCAGAGGGTTGCTTGGAGCATTGCTTTAATCTTAACTGCTATGCCTCCCAAACAGTACCGTTGCATGTTGTCAGCTGTAGACAGTGTTTGCTTAAATATGGCACACATCCTGATAGCATGTGAACATGCACCTGGAATCTAACTTGAAATTCATGGGATGTCATTGATATAAATATCATCTTCCCAAAGTTTATGTTTTTCTTCTGCCTCATTAATCACTTTGTGTGGGCAACTATAGGACTTTTTACCTTTCCAAAGACCTGATAGAAGTTTATAAAATAATGAGAGGTATAGATAGAGTTGATGGTAGTTGTCTTTTCCCTAAGATGGAGAATTTCAAGACTAGGGGGCACATTTTTAAGGTGAGAGGAGAGAGATTTGAAAAAGAAAATAAGAGGTAAATTTTTTACACAGAAGGTGATTCACCTGTGGAATGAACTTCCTGATGAAGTGTGTTGGATGCGGGTACAATTACAACATTTAAAAGTCATTTGGATGGATATATGAATAGGAAAGGTTTGGAGGGATATGGGCCATGAGCAGGCAGGTGGGACTAGTTTAGTTTGGGATTATGTTCAGCATGGATTGGTTGGACCGAAGGGTCTTGTTTCCGTGCTCTATGACTCTATGACTATGTTCCTCTTCTGAACATTTTCTAAAAGTGATCTATCATATGACAGATAGAATATTTGCTTTACTAGCTGGGCACTGTTTTTGCATGTGAGGTCTCTTTGCTCCACAGCACTGAAGAGGACTTTTAGTGACTGGTACCTGTCCTACTCAGTGTATTGTTTTCTCATGTGTCTTGTTTGTGGTTTTGTACCTTAAGAGTTGAATTGGCTATGCTGATCCCCTTTACCATGGTTAATCTTCTGCACTTAGAATTGACCTATGTTGCTTCTAGACTTCTGCTTCACTCACCATCTGAATGGCTTTTCCTAGAGACAGTCGTCCTCCTATATCTGACAAAGGTTCATCAGCAATTCCTATAACTTCTATGGTGATTTGAAGTCACCATAGTCACATGTCTCCACTACTGGGGTAGAGATCATTAATTAAATCATCTCCTGGATTTTTCCTTAGATTCTCCTGGATGCTGAATCCTGCCATTAAATCTTGCTTTTTCAAGAATGTTATTAATTCTGAGGTTGAAGTAATTGTCAAAGGCTTCTTGAAAAGTATCTGTTGCTGCTTTTACTGCTCAAATAGTGCTATAGAGCTATATCATAAACAGTTAAACTCCCAATTGTCTATTTACTTTTTCAGCTTCTGATTTTGTATCTAATTTGGAAGCTATTCTGTATCACAGAAGTTGTTTTCTCCAAGATGTCCAATTCGGTGTTCTGTTTGACTCATCTTAGAAATTAAGTCTTCCAGGCAATATTATTTCTGATGCATTGTTTTACTAATATAATTAGATATTTTGCTTGTTTGAAATACTTTTACTTTAGAGTAATACTGTTCTGCTGTACTTTGCTGCTGTACCTGGAGGGCTTTCCTCATTTTGCAGCTGAAATAGGAGGATTTCCACCTTCTCATAGGTAAATTAGAGGATTTCCAACCTCCACAGACATAATGGAGAATCCCTCCCTTTTTCGTGTCTTCACTGTATAACCCCACTGTCTGCAGCTTTAATAAATAGTTCCTGCCTTCATCACAGTTTACTGAATGTTTCCTGCCTCTTGTCATTCAAATAAATGTTTCCTGTCCTTTATCACAGCTCTTATGAAGGATTCCCTGCCTTTTTCTGTGAATAGTGTAAAGTCTCCCAAACTATCTTATCCCGTTAAACCAAGTATGCTTCAGCTTTTAATGTATCCAACTTTGCTGTCTGTAATTCCATAGGCTCTTATCTTATTCAAGGGCAGCATGGTGGCTCAGTGGTTAGTACTGCTGCCTCTCAGCACCAGGGACCCGGGTTCAATTCCACCTTCTGGTGACTGTCTGTGTGGAGTTTGCATATTCTCCCCGTGTCTGCGTGGGTTTCTTCTGGGTGCTCCGGTTTCCTCCCACAGTCCAAAGATGTGCAGGCTAGGTGTATTAGTCAGCCTAAATTGCCCGTAGCGTTCAGTGATGTGTAGATTAGGTGGGTTATAGGGGGTATGGGTCTGGGTAGGATGTTCTAAGGGTCGGTGTGGACTTGTTGGACCAAAGGGCCTGTTTCCACACTGTAGAGATTCTATGAATTATTCAGTAGCCTAACATGTGGGACCTTAGTGAATGCCTTTAGGAAATTCAAATATGTGACATCTACTTTTTCTCCTTTATCTGTCTTGCTTGTTACCTCCTCAAAGAATTGTAATAAATTTATCAGGTGTGATTTCACCTTCATGAATCCAAGCTGACTCTTCTTGATTATCTTGTATATTCCTAAATGCTTTACTAATACATCCTTTATAATAGACTCTAACATTTTCCCAATGGCAGACATTAGGTAAATTGTCCTATAGTTACCTGCTTTTTGTCTCCTTCCTTTTTTGAATAAAGAGTTCCATTGGTAGTTGTCCAATGATCTGGGACTTCTCCAGAATCTATGACTCTTTGAAGTTTCCACTAATACTTCCTTTAAAATCCTGGATGCAGCCCATCATGTCCAGGATACTTATCGACCTTGTGCCCCATTAGTTTTCTTAGTATTTTTCTCGAGTGATAGGTTTTAGCCCAATAACTATATTCTTTTGGCTAAGTGTGAGTTAGGGTGACACCTAGTGACATCTCTGTCCATATCTTACTAAACATGCCTCTTTAGCTCCCTACCCCATCCCTCTGGGTGGTGGTGAGCTGCCTTCTTGAACTGCTGCAGTTCACATGCAGCAGGTAGACCCATAATACCACTCGGGAAGGAATTCCAGGATTGTGACCCAGCAACACTGAAGGCATGGTGATACATTTCCAAGTCAGGATGGTGAGTGGCGTGGAGGGGAATCTGTCCAGGGAGTTGCTAACTCTCGTGTTGCGGTGTGGCTCTTACCAGGCCTGAAATTTACCATTCATTCTTCCTTGGTTGGCATTGCCCCAAGAGTTTCTTCAGTGGAGTTCTTAAATCTTCATCTCTTCCCTGCTCTTATCTCAAGCTAAATGAGAAGATCTCATATTGCTGCTCCCTGTGTGTTCTCAGATCAGGTCCACACCACCACCTTTCCTGTTGCGTGCATATGTCAGCTGATGAAGATTGCTACTGCTATATTCTTCACATATTAGAAACTACAGGACCTGCTTGGTCCAGTGTGGCAGAAGAAGATTCCTTTCTGCT